CTCCCCCCCACCCTCCTCTTCCTCCCCCCCACCCTCCTCTTCCTCCCCCCCACCCTCCTCTTCCTCCCACCCACCCTCCTCTTCCTCCCACCCACCCTCATCTTCCCCCACCCTCTCTCTTCCGTTACTTCCATCGACCCCTCTCGTCTTGATTCGTGGGATCTACATCAGATGTGCATTTCCGTCTGAACAGTCCGTAAGTGGGGAACACTAACCCAAGTAGGTATTGATTAACTTCAGGTGATAACTGTGAGCATGGACCTTGGTTTTTAATACGCATGTTTCATTCTTCTTGAATACACCATCACGTACTCCGGTGTTCCAGTGCGTCCTGGATAAGGAAACCAAGTCTGATTGGCTGAAAACTGGTTGATTCAGGCTATAAGTATAATCCTCTGACCAATCATTAGAGCCTGTCAAAAGAATAATTTACTCTTCCACATTTTCTTTGCACGAACATATACGAGGTAAATATATTTCCACGAGAATGCATGGCGCCAAAGAGGCTGTCATTGTCAAAACAATGCGTCAAGGATGATGACAGATTAAGACAAATCACACACTGTTATTTCTAGGCGAATTGTCATGATTTAAAACTACTGAAGAGAATGACATGTCGCGATTTAACCCACTGTCTTCAAAAGCTGCACAGGAGACGGGCTCAACCTATTGATTTGACACGCTTCGTACTTAAACACAACTCGTTCAATAACTTCGTCGCCTCCTTCATGGTCATGTGTATGGAACGAATTCAAAACAAGTTATCGATTTTTAAAGAAATTGTCCAATCAAATTGTCTGGTCCTCACACGAATTAGCTCATTGGTTAGTTGGCTGCCACCTCGAGAGTGGATGTGTCCAGTCTAATTTTTGGACTTCCCTTTGCCACAATGAGTTCGTATAACTCACAAATGAATGAAGGGGCTTAAATCTTTTACTTTTCAAGCACAATTAGCCTAAGTTCTTCCTGAATTTGGTCCAGTCGTCGGATTGTTGAGTTGCTGTTTGAGTGAGGCGTTCTCCCAGCGCAGTAAAACAAGTTCTCGCCTGAAAGAGAGGGGAACGAGATTGGCTCAGGGGTGTAGAGAAAATCAATACGATGGCACGTGTTGTTTAAATAGGCTACAGAGTTGATGACGAAAGGGTGAAACATTCAAATAAGGTCTTACCTCATCTGATGCATATGTACATGCGTAGGCACATCGAACAGACAAAAATGGTCCCCCTTCAGGCGATGTGCCGCCAGCCACTCAAAGATCACATCAATTCCTCGTTCCTAGATAAAAATGTACAAACGCCAATGAAATTTTTTGCCTTGAAAGCATTGCATTTAGGCAAAGATTAGATATTCTGACTAGTCAAATGTTAAACGCAAAATCGACCCACTGTTTCTACGTGGTTTTGTGCGGTTATTTGAATGCACACCCTCGATTTAAACAAAAACATTCAATTTAATTTTTAATAAAAAGACATTTGCCGGTGTGCAGGCATCGAGGGCTAAACTAAACGTGTTGTTAACGTCAGTTTTGTGGTTTACGCATGATCGAACACAGTTTCACTGAGCTGAGTTGAGCAGGACCTAATTGTTGTCAACATCCTACTTGCTCAACACTGTAAACAATGCTTGTTTTCAAAACCTTGACTCCCGTGATAAGATATTCACACACACCAAATGACAGTCCTTTGGCACGTCATAAAACGTGTCCTAATCCATAAGTAAATAAAAATATGTAATGCGTTTAAACAAGAAGTAGGGTTAAAAGTGGGACAGAATGAAGCAGCATGCATATTTGAAAGACGCACTCCACGAGTGACATATAGAGATTACGCGGAAAATGTTACAACACTAGAAAACACAGTTTTTCCGTTTTCAAATATATGCTCAATTCCCAGTCTTAATGCAACTTGTCAAATTATTTTCGCTTGATAATTTCTTAAATTAGTGAAATTCGACTGCTAAAAAACGAAGGTTTCATTTTATTTTACTAATGCTAAAAAAATCATGGAAACTAACCAAAATGGTGAAAAGAAATGACAGCACGTCCTTAAGTCTGACGATATGTAGGTCGGGATCAATGTACAGGAGTCGACCAATAGAATTATTGCAGGTAATCACTTCGTAGCCAATGAGAAGTGATCGTGAGCCAGCTGCTTATCGATCGCCTGGAAGCCTTCGTGTGACAACCAGTCGTCAACTTCGGACTCTATGCCCTCACCTCAGGACTCACAGTCTCAGCCACAAACACACTTACAGAGTAGCGTGTAAATAGCCTAGTGATATTTGAACGAAAACCCATAATTCAAGCCCTCGTTTTAGCCAATCATGTTCCCGTCACTTGCGTGGAGACCACCATGTCAATTGCAGCATAAATGTTTTGTGAACTCGTACAGAAACCTCTAACTTCCTCATTGAACTCAGAAACACTCATGGCCCTGGCAACCTTATGGTGGCTGTACGCATATATTACTCTCACAACATTACCCATTTCAGTAGGTAGTGGCCTAGTCTGTGAGTCGGTCGTACCCACAAACGCTGGGCTATTTTTTGCTACAAATCAGCAATCAGGCTTAAAACGACTTCCGGACAACCGTCATTGTGAACTGGCGTGGAAATAGCCCGGTGATATTTGCACGAGTAACATTCGTTAAGGACAAAATTTTTGTCGTGACATGAATTATTTAAGT